TCAATTCCTCTGTCCCAAGCCCCGGTGGAAAAAGCCACTGAGCTCAGGAAGCACTATACTAATCCTGTCTGCCAGAGCCACTGGCCTGCCACAGTTCCACTAAAACGCTAGTCCTTTTTTAAACTATTAGTATTATTACTATTTTACTATCATTATTTTAAAAATAAAATAGAATTCTCTTACATTTTATTATTTTTAAAATACATATTTTCGGGGCGCCTGGGTGACTCAGTGGGTTAAAGCCTCTGCCTTCGGCTCAGGTCATGATCCCAGGGTCCTGGGATCGAGCCCCACATCGGGCTCTCTGCTCAGCAGAGAGCCTGCTTCCCCCTCTCTCTCTGCCTACCTCTCTGCCTACTTGTGATCTCTGTCTGTCAAATAAATAAATAAAATTTAAAATACATTATTTTCAAATATGTTTTTATTTATTATTTTTATATGATTAGCTCTATTAATCACTAGGAAGTGGAACAATTATAAAATATGGGCAAATCCAGGTTTAATCTGCCACTGAAGTCATTTATTATTGGAAACATTCTTTCTCCATCATAGGCATGCAGTCCACTCCCAGTTGCCTTTCCCCTTAATTCTCAACAATGTCCGGGCCCTGCTGCTTAACATAAGTCATTACAAAGCTGTTTCCGTACTGGCCACGGGGGACTTACTGTTTGAACACAGCATCAGTTCAATTCCCACCACTTCTTTTCCAGGTAGCAGCAAGTTGAGCTTATGTCAATTCATCATCATTATTAACATATTAATGGATGAGCATGTAAATGGCACTAGAGGGACTTTACATAAATACAGAAGAGTGTGGTTCCTGCCTTTGAGGACATTAAAATAAAATTAAGTCAGAGGCAGTCACCATATGCAATGCCTAATCATGTAATATGGTGACCATTTGGTGATGCTACTATACCATATTTCCACAGCATTAGTGTTTTCAAATGACTCAGTCAACTCCTGCCAAGATATGCAAAAACAACTAAATGAGGAGCCTTTTCCAAAAATGTTTTCCTGTTTCTGTTACCAAATTCATCTGATAGAATCACTCTCCAAGTAAGTGCCACTTGCCTACTGTGGAAGACACTTTATTTGGTAGCAATTTTGAAACGTCTAATATGAGTTGCAGATACTGCAAAGAATCCTATTTCCCCCTTCAAAATCAATAGGAAAATTGCTACACACACTAGGTATTTTTTCTTTGTAAAGACAGATTTAACATTGCATTCTGTTTCAGAGTAGCTCAGGTATTTCTCAGCTAGCAAAGTGGTTTAATCCTCCATTTTAGCTGCTCAGGTAAAAGGGTCGTTTTGCATCTTGAAGGCTAGAGGCAGTATTTTGTACAAATAGATAACACAGTAATTCGATCGTTACTACTGTCTTAAACTAGCCTTAGGGAGGAGAGATAGAGAGTAACGCATCATTGACAGTAAGAATAATTGTTTCTTTACCAACATCTTAAAATCATGTACTCACAGTTGAAATGCTAGATGTTTTAAACTTCCATGTTCCACAGAGAGAATATCTTCCATCCATGATGTTATTCTTAATAGATTTTTTTTTAAAGATTTTATTTATTTATTTGTCAGAGAGAGAGAGGAGCTAGAGCGAGCACAGGCAGACAGAGTGGCAGGCAGAGGCAGAGGGAGAAGCAGGCTCCCTGCCAAGCAAGGAGCCTGATGTGGGACTCCATCCCAGGACACCAGGATCATGACCTGAGCTGAAGGCAGCTGCTCAACCAACTGAGCCACCCAGGCGTCCCTCTTAATAGATTTTTTAAAACAAATTTCAACATGGTCAGACTTTCCTCCTTGGAATTCTAAATGTTTCTATTGTCTCTACATCTTGAATCAGTAATTTAAAAGCTTCATAATTGGAAGTTTTTCTGTTGAGTAATTATTCTATCGCAATAAATTTTTACCCTGTATAGATGTTGTCTTGATTCTTTACTGGCCTTCTTAAACATATATTAAATATAATATAATATAATACGATATATATGTATATATACATATTTAACTTATAAAAGCATCTTTGTATGTGTTTGTGTATGTGAAAAGGTAAGGCAAGCCATGGAGGCCCACTGAAGTGTTCACATTCAAGTGCAGTTAAAGCGGAACATGCTTGACTACAGCAACACACATAAGTTGATACCAAGAACTCTCAGAGATTCATCGAAACTCAACTAAGGAATCAACATCTAATAGCTTACTTTTCTTCTCCTAGATTTTTGAATCTTAAGAAAATATCTAAGAATTGGGAAGAACATAGACTTAATGTTTTACCCATGACTTCCAGAGAGGCAGAAACAGGGCTCATGAAGAAGCCAAGTGTTCTGTCTTTAAGCAATAGCTGACATTACATGGGTAAAATATATTATTAGTGTTTGTGTTATTGCTCACTATTGACGGGATCTCTTCATTATGCTCCTGAGAATCACGTATTTTAAAAAATACTAGAAGTGATAGCAACGGCATGTGGTTAACAATGGCCAGATCAATCCTGGAACACAAAATTTTAAATATGTATGAGGCAAAAAATGACTTTGGGTTACCTGTATTCCAATAAATTTGGCACAGCTGAAAGGAGTGGGAGAAATGCATAAAACACACATTTTAATAATTCTGGAAAATCAAAGTTAGCTGATAGCAATGGGTATTTGGAGGCTATTGTAATTTCTCTTTTTTTATGTATTTGCTTAATTGTCTAGTACAAAAAAAATTACATCAAGTATGTAGTTAAGAGTAGTGGCCATTCAGACAATTTGTATATTCTGTCATGTGTTTAATTACAACTGCTTCAAATGTATCCCAGATTTTCAAAAGTTTTATTTGAAGATTGAAGACTAGACAAGGTCATACTAATTTTACAACATCCTACATGATTTAAGTATATATACAAAGGAAAAAACCAACATTGAAATATTACACAGCTTGAAAGTTTGCAAAGGCTATTTGTGTCTTAGTAACTTCTGTACTTACTGACACATCAGATGCCAGTAGGGAGTACTATGTTTCATAATTTGTTGACTAGCAAAGATACAATCATTAGTACCCTAAGTCTTCAAAGTTCACACCAATCCTTTGAAGCCATTCAGAAAGAGAAAGTCAACCCTGAAATTAGAATTAGTGACTATGATAAGTGCTTTCAACAGGACATAGATAAAACAGAGATGTTTAAAGTGTTAATTTCATAGATTACAAAATTAGCATATCATCGCTACTCCATATAGTGAAGAGTAGGTGACTTTTCTGTGTGTTCTTCTTCTAAGATTTTACTTGTTTCAGTGTGAATTTAAGTAGAATAAATTTGTTTCCCTTTGGTGTCATTGAAACAAACGACACAAAAGCTACATACTACTTCATAGGAATTGTTAACATCAACACATGTGGGAATCCCTCTGTTGTCATGAATTTGAGACATCATGGGACAAACATATCCTGTTGGTCATGCCACGTTGGTGAAGTGCACAGAGAGCAGAGAGAAAATGCACAAGCAAGAGAAAGCCATTTCAGTGCATTTCTAAAAGGTAAGGAGTGTTAAGTTTAACAAACTCCCTTTGAAAATATTTGTTTAAAAAACTATCAATAAAATAAAATTCAAAACATCACAAGAGGCCACGAATAATTTTGAGAAAGTAAATCATTATAAAGCATGACTCATAATTTCTAAAACATACTCTGTTTAGAATGAAGAATCGTGCATAGTCTGCAAAGGAAAACAGCTAGAAATTTGGTGGGACAGTAGATGTTTAAAAAAATAAAAGGCATTGGCTAGACAGTAAGTATGTCTCTTTTTGGATCTAAATAATTATTTGTAATATGACTTTAACATTGAGGAAATTAAAAAGATTTAATTCCTAATTTTAAAGTTGTCTGAAAAGGCAATATTGAGGACCTAACAAAGTTGTGAAAGATGCCGAAAAATGATCACCATTTCAGATGCTTCAGATCAACAATTTCATAAGAACCTGAAGTAGAAAGCCTGTGGACATAGGACAAATGTGTGGCCAGCCAGTCTTAATTCTGCTCTTATTAAAAACACCATTATGATTGACTTTCCCTTTAAATTCTTCACTATGCTTGAAGACCCACTCCATATATACATCATTAAGAAATGCGGTTAACACATAGACAGACAAGACAATAACAGTCTAGTGGCTTTTGTTATGCAGCACAAATAATAGGGGGAAAAAAGACTTCTCAGTGTTGCACAGGACCTTAACATTTTGTACACATACCATACTTTCTTTTCCAGGACCCTTAATTTAAAACTCCAATAATTCTGTGTCTAAGCCTTATAAAACAAATACTTGTTAAGCTTATAAATTAGATGCTGAGGACTATTATGGAAGCAGTGTGAGCTTTAATTTGAGAGACATGTCAATGAAACCTCCATTATCAATAACAAATTGTTATGACAATTGCTTCTTTTTTCAGGACCTCCGAAGCAAAATAAATAGAAATCAATTTCCATCTTAAAATGATCTACTACATTGTCATTAGTAAATACTTTTCTCAAATAACTACACAATGTGCTTTCCTAGGAAATTGCCACCAGTTTCATTCAAGCCTCAGTCAAATTCTAGTTTCACAGGAAATGCAGAGATGAACAAAGAGATGATGAGTATGCTTGGCCAGACTCTGCAGCACTGTGTTAATATTTGTTTGCTAAAAAAATTTTAAGTGGACAAACACAGAATTCATTATTCTGCTATTTTAAAGTAAAGATAAGGCTACGTAATTACCATCAAAATAAAGTTTAAAATTCCGGTTTAAAGGGACATAATATTATTTTGTTGTTGTTTATCTTGCAAAATGGTAGTATTGGGTTTTTCATCAAGGAAGTATTCGGAAATTACATAGTTATAGCTTCCTTCAAAAATAGAATTTCAGATTCAATCTACTGATATTAAATATGATCAATCTACTGATAGGCAATCATGTTCCATATATATATATCCATATATATGTATATATATATGTATATATATGTATACATACACACACACATAAACATGAAACTTTTAGGCAAATAACAGGAAAAACTCATTTAGAAAAAAATATGGACTTATTCAGTCAATGTACAATATAAAGAATATAGAATAGAATGAAAAGAAAAAAGATTACATGATATATTTGATTAGAAATAATGAAAGTAAAATGAGAATTATAATATCAATTAGTACTGCATGTAACAGATTCTTCAAAATTCTGTTATAAACACTGACAGTGATTGGTAGGCAGAGGGGAAACAATTAGAATCATGTAGAGTTATTAGAGAAGAAAAAAAAAACTTATTGCTAACATTGCAGTGTACCTTTTATAAGTATTATCTGAGTATTGATTATAAAAGCTCTATCAACTCTTGCTTTAATTTGATAACTATGAGTTTTTTTTTATCCTTGCTATCAAAAGAGTGCTACTTCTTCCCTTAATATATTCCAACCATTGTGAATAATCCAAAAAACAATGACTGAAAGTAACTCACAAGTTAATGTGATGTGGCTTAAGCAATTTAAACAATAAAAATCAAATTAAACCATTGAAAAGGCAGGCTTAGACCTCCTTAAAAAGACAGTGGCCTACCATAATTTGAGCACTTTTTCATGAAAAATCCCATTCAGTTTCCTACAGAGTTTGCCCAGTTCATTCCATGGAGATACTTTCAGGGAGACAGAGAGGAGGGCTATGGGGCATGGACGCTCCTCACTCTTCCTCTGTACAACCCAGCAGCTCTGAGCGTAGCGTGATCCTCCCATACCAGGACCAAGGGAGGATTCTGATGTGCCGTGCATAGATTGGAGGGTCGATGACGTTTTTCCTGTGGGTATCATTGTCAAAATTGCCCTGGAAAACCTAATAGAAAAGAGCAAAGAATATCAATCATACAGCCTTCTTTTTCCTGGGAATCATTTTTATCATTTTTTTGTTTGGAACCTTCTTCCTAAACGTGAGATTTTGATAACTAAATATGTTTTTCAAAACAAATTATTGCAGCTTCTTTTTAAATGATCATTTTAAAGTTAAGTTGTTGGAGTGCCTGGATGGCTCAGTGGGTTGAGTCTGCCTTCAGCTCGGGTAACGATCTCAGGGTCCTGGGATCAAGCCCTGCTTTGGGCTCCCTGCTCCTCGGGACTCTGCTTCTCTCTCTGCCCTTACCTACCGCCACACCCTCAATAGTCCATGCTCTCTCGCTCTCTCTCTCAAATAAATAAATAAATTAAGTCTTAAAAATATAAATTATCAAGTAATGTTTAATTTAAAGAGTTAAATAAGATGAAATTGGGAATCTGAGGCATAGATCTATCATCTTCATCTGCCTATCAGGTTTCTTTTAATGCAACAGATATTTATTTCTTGCTTCTGTCATGGGCTGGTATAGGTTAAGCAGTTGCGGAAGGTGCTCTCTTCTAAGGAGTGATTCTGAGATCCAGGCTGCTTGCAAATTGAAGCCATCATCTGAAACTTGTGGCGTCCACATTGACAAAGGGCAAGGTGAGAGAGAGTTATTAGACTGGGCAGGATGTTTTAAAGAACACAGTATAGCAGCAGCTTACATCATTTCTAGATACATATCATTGACCTTAACTAATTATATCAGCCTGGCCCAGCTGCAAAGGAGGCTGGGAATCGGGAGGAGCACATGGATATTTGGTGAGCACAACACTCCCTATCACAATGTCCTTTGCTCGCTTCTCACAGACAACAAAATTAACCCATCCCCAAGAGAAATAATGCAATCAATGCTATTTTGAACGTTGTTGTTGTTGTTTTTGGTTTCTGTGTCTATTCATTCCTGGATCCCTGCAATATTGTTGTGATCATTGTGACTTAGACCATCCTGACATGTTGGCACTGGATTCTTCTCCACCAATCTTTTGTTTCAAAGCTTTTTTTTTTCTTTTAAAGAGAATTTATGACTATTTTTCTCTCCAAAGAGATCTTTATAATCATTTTGCAAAGTGCTTGCTTCAGAAAAAACAAAATCAGAACACTGGGATCCTAATAGGAACGACATTAAATTAGACATTACTTTGGGAGAAATTCATGCATTCATAATATTTAGTCTTACTTGAAGATTTCATCATTTTTCATCTATAGAGTCTGCACACTTATTATTTAAGTAATTTCTAACTTTTTTTATATTCACATTTTCATTTTAGCTCAAATAGGATAATGAAGAATCTCTTCAGACTTTCCCCTTTTAACTTGATGAGGCATCTTATAATTGGAAGATAATTTCTTTCTTGCTTAAGATCAAAACATTACTATATCGCTAAAGGGAGACGTGAAACAAAAATTCCCCAAAGGGGGGAAAAGAAAAAGAAACTCCATCACTACATGATAGAATATTTAACCCATGTCTTTGAACATTCTAAAATTAAAGGGAATGTTTTAAAAATGGCCTTCTAGAATAAGTTGGCTCAGTCTCACATGATCACAAAAGGTTTCCTGGGTAGGGAAAAATAAAGAAATCCTCTCAAAGGCATTAGACAATGGCACTGATTAATAGAAGCAACAGACAAGATGGGGCAATCTTTCTGCTGGTTCCACGGAAAGATTATGTGTCATTGAGGGCAAATGCGAAGTGCCATCCCCACCTGGTGGGGGACAATTTTTCAACCTGACACAAAATATATCTCAAAGGCAATTTTTGAATAAATATTTGCTGAAGAAAAGAATACCGAACTGTGCCAAGTCTAGAATTCATCATCCTGGCATATCTGAATTCATTTTCATTTAATAGAAAATTTATCCTCAGTAATGCTCTGGCTTTGCACTGACCAACCAAGAACTAATTCTGGATTTAAGTGTGTTACTAAATAACGGTGTCTCTGTTAGTAGAAGCTCACATGTATAGAATATACCACACAGACACTCACCAAAAATCCTCAGAGAGGTTGTCATTGCCAAAGCGGAAAATAAGAGAGTACCTTCTATGGTTTCCTGACATTCTCCCTGACATACGATGTTGGATTCAAATACTTCGCTGAGACTGTGGTGTTACAGTTAAATATAGAATCTCAAATCCAATTTCAGAGCCTTGCTAGAGAAGTTAATGTGTTTCTTCGGAATAATAGAATTTAAATTCATTAACTTTCATAAGATCTATAACAGACTGAAATACAGGGTCATACCACTTCTTGGGAAGGATACACAGTAAGAAATAATTTTCTTTGAAGTCACTGGTCTTCAGCACAAGTTTCAATAAGAAACTATCAACCCAGAAAGAAATAGTTGAAATATTATACTTAGCCTTTATAATGGAGAATACAATTTAGAGAAACTACATTAGCTCTGAAACTGCATTCAACTGTGACACTTCTGATTCAAGGTGTGAAAGGCATAGCTATTTGAATGCTCATTGAAAAGATTAAATGAAGTTTCCTAAAATAGTATAATTTAAAAAACAAACATTTTCACAGAAAAACAGCCACAATCCACATTGGAATCACCCAAACCATGGCCTAAAGGTAGTGAAGACAACAGTTTTATTTTTGGAAGTCTCTCAGTAATGACACAGCAGAGAACACAAAGTACATACGTGCAAATTCGAGAACGACATCTTGTACTTGCTGTGCAAACAGGTGGCCCATGTACTGTTTCCTTGTCTCCAGCACTAGGAAGATCATGCTTAAGAATGCTAGTTCTGTGTTTTATCCAGCAAAGGAATGCAAACTCAGTATTTTTAGTTAACTTTTAAAAATGGGTTTTCTTGGGCGCCTGGGTGGCTCAGTGGGTTAAGCCGCTGCCTTCGGCTCAGGTCATGATCTCAGGGTCCTGGGATCGAGTCCCGCATCGGGCTCTCTGCTCAGCGGGGAGCCTGCTTCCCTCTCTCTCTCTCTCTCTCTCTGCCTGCCTCTCCGTCTACTTGTGATCTCTCTCTCTGTCAAATAAATAAATAAAATCTTTAAAAAAAAAAAAATAAAAAAAAATAAAAATGGGTAAAAATTCTAGAAATGGGCTTTTATGTTCACACTTCAGAGATATAAGCAACTCAATTGATACCAAAGTCTGAAAAGACCGATGGAAAACATATCTCCATTTAGAAGGGAAAAACTGGATATGAGAAACACAGTTTGAGAAGTTTTTAGAAAAGAGTATGCATATGCTTCAGTTTCAGGAGGAGGCTTAGCTAATTAGCCGATGACAAGTTTGCTGATGTACTCAGACACGATAATGCTTAGGGATCTATCGGGCTTTTCCCAACATACAGGCCCTCAAGAAAAAGGCACCAAAGGTACTTTGGAGAGGCTTCCAAATTACAACCTAGAGGATAATAGAGAGAACTGCCACTGCCTTCATGTGGCTGAGATCTTGGATCTGGCTTTTCAACGTCAACTCTCCTGTGATAATCGTTAAAATTCAAATCAGATTCTAATGAGGATTCAAATCTCAACACAGAGAGACTGTCAGATAAAACAATTAAATGTTGCTTCCAGCAACTTTTAATTTTTTTTTTTTTTTTTTTTTTTTTTTGTAAGATAAGACTTGTCATTCTTCATTAGGGACAATGGTCTATTCAGGCCAGAGTAGACATCATCAATGGGAGACTGCCAAGAAGGCAGGGTTCTCCTTCATGACACCATCAGACAGCTGGGTGTACTCAGCTTCTCTTAGCAGCCATGACCTCTAACTGCCTTTCACAAATGTTGAGGAATTCTTGGGGGAATTTCTTGCACATACTATTTATTTAGATTGTCATCTGGTCTGTGAAGATATACTTCTTTTTATTTTTCCTAAATAATGCATTAGAAAATTCAAAGAGAGGGGCACCTGGGTGGACTCAGTCGGTTAAGCATCAGACCCCTGGTTTCTGTTCAGGTCATGATCTCAGGGTTATGGGATCAAGCCACCCCATTGGGCTCCACACTCAACAGGGAGTCTGCTTGAGATTCTCTCTCTCTTTTCATTTCCCTCTGTCCCTGCCCCTGCCCCTGTTTGGGTTTCTCTCCCTCTCTCTCTTTAAAATAAATAAATCTTTCTGAGAAAAGCTTTTTTTTTTTTCCTAGGCAAAGAACTTTATTAATCTTGTTTCAAACTTTATTCCCAGGCTTCTTCAGCTTAATTAGCTGCAAAGAATGAATTGTGTATAAGCAAAAACTGAAAAGAGCTGCGGTGTCCGAGGGGCTTGGGCTTAAAAATATTAGAGATCTAGATTTTATCAGATCCATGAACAAAATTTTAAAAAGCAGTCATAATATAAAATAGCAGCTCCCAGTAACTTCTTCAAGTTTTATCTTCTCCAGAAGTTGACTCAATTCAGTTTGCTTCATTCTTGGAAGCTTCATCAAAATTCTCCACAAGATCTGGAACTTCATACATCATCATCCTCTCCGGTAGCAAGTGGTGCTTTTCCATCCACAGATTGTGTGGGCAGAGCTTCAGCCAGTCTTCTTAAACTAGTCAGACTGTCTGCACCAAGTTGGTTTAAGATACTGGGTAGCATTTCTGTCAGCTGCTTTGTCTCAGCATGGCCTGTAATGGTGAAAGTGTTCGCTGCCAGCGATGCCTGAACTTTGGGGTTGTTAAAGTGGATCACTGTTCCTTGGTTTGTGAACATATTCACTTCCTCAATACCAGAGATATTGTTTACCCCTAACTTCTTTAAGGAGAACTGAAGTTTTTTATCATCTGCTGTAGCTGTTCTATGAACCACCTTCTTCTTTCGGGGAGCAGTTTCTTTCCCACCAATGCGCACTTGTGCTTGCAGTTTGGCGAGTTTCTCCTGGTTCATGATAGTTTCTTTCATCTTGTTGGAGCGGAAATGGGACCGCGCGGGGGACTAGGGTTGGCGCTCAGGGGGTCTCGGGCGGACCAGCTGAGATTAGGTGCACACACGCGGGGACACGAGATGGCAGCTAGAGGGCTGAAAAAAGGTTTTAAAGAGACTCCCATTGTTCTAATCTTTTGGAATTTTTGTTCATGTCACCCAAATAGCAATTTTAAGGATTTTTAGATAGCCTCCATAAGCTCTTTAAGGCTAATGAATCAGTATTTTAGCAAGGCCTCAGGGAACTATCAGTTCATCCCTATGGCTTTTTGGTCTCCCCGTTCTAGATTTCATTATTTCTCTTTTAATATGTGGAGACTAGAACTATAAATGGGATTCCAGATATTGTGAAAATACAAGAGTCGAATAAGCTATTGTTTGCATTTGCCTTGGCAATGGTGTCAAACATACCACTGGCTTCTTTGCCTGTGTTCGCACACTGAACTGATATCTTTAAAGGATTAAAGACAAAGATAAAAATCCATTACCCAAGAGCAGCATTTGTGTGGGGGTTGGAGAGGAGAGGAGTGGAAAAGAGAAAAAAAAAGTTATCCAGCATATATAATTTCACTTATTTATTCTTTCATCCAGAGTACTTATGAAGGAGTTGGAAAAGAATATAGTCTTTTCCAACTCTGATCCATGAGAAACACTGTTTTCATGTAATTCCACCCATAGAATGGAAGAATCTGAGACTTGGAAAATAAGGCATAGATCTGTGAGCACCAACTTTCCTCTAACATTTCTGACATGGAACTTCCAGCAATGACAATGCAATCCTCAATATAATAGGGTAGGTATGTATGTATTCAGACACTTTGGAAGTCTGTCCTTTCATTAGGCTGACACATGCCTCTTTCTAACTTCCATCTATTGATCCTAGTGCTTTATTCTCAACAAGCATAGATGATATCTGTCAAAAGAAAAACAGCTTTGGACCTATTTAACAATAATTAACATAAATTTCTCAAAAACTCAAAATTAGTGGTGCTTTAGGCTAAACATTTGTGGTTGCTTAAAAAAAGTCATGTAAGATGATTTTTAAACTTATTTTGATTGCATTCCATTGGATACCCTCTGGTTTTTAAATTTGACTTGATGAAAGGGTGGTATTTATTTGGACATAGTATGTAGTAATGACCTGAGTGGCCCAAAGTATAGAGTGTGCCTTTGTTATGGATACAATACTTCTATCAATGCAGTCTAAAATTTAAAACTATTATATTACATTTTTGGCCATGAATGATGACTAATTGTCAAAACAAACTTCGAACTTTATCATAGAAATTCTCTTAAGTTAGGATTTTCCCAATATTTCAATTGTAAAAGAGATTTATAGTGGATGTAGACATTTATATTTATTCCAATTTCATTTCATTTTATTAAATCATGATATTTTAAAGATAGCAATTCATAGTTAAGATTATGATCCATATAAAAATAGTGGAAATTTAGTGGACATAGGATTTAAGTATCCATTTTATAAAGTAACCATTTATATATTATGTGAGTATAAAATCTGACTTTTGTGGGTGACAGAAAGGATTTACACTTATTAGTTTATGGTTCAGCATCATAAAAATCATTTTTATATACTTATTATTAACACTACTTGAATTTCTGTCAAAAATTTCAGAGTTACAACTTGAACCAATGCTTTAATGGCTAAAAGCCTAATGCACAGAGTATTTATCTATTTGAATAGTGTTTGTAAGAGAAACTTCAGTTGTTTCTCATTCTATGACTTTTAGGCTAATTTACAATTTATGTTCTACTTTGCCCTATATTAAAGCATTCCAAAAATACCAAAATTTTTCGTTAAAAAGTAAAACAAAAATTATTGTGTTAAAATGTAAAGAAAATTGTTAGTGGTATGAATGTATATCACATTAAAAAGAAATCTTATTGGAAGTTTTACATGTATGAAACTTCTGTTAGTGATTGGATATAAAAAATCTAAAACCAAAGTTTGACTATTTTAGCTTCCATAGACTCTAGCTATTATTCAGTGAATTCAATTTTCTAGGAAAATTTATCAGCATCCTTGAAACCATTTCATGATTGAATGGCTGGTATATCATTCTTGATGGTTTTCTCTCCAATCAATTCCACTAAACCAATGAAACTCTGTAACAAAATTAGTCTAAATATAAGTACATTCTTTCAGATGTAATAAGGAAACAAGAAATCAGTTTCTAGGTAAATTCCAATAACCTAGGAAATGTTCCTTGGAAAATAATGCATATTGAGAATCACATTTTAAGAAATGCACACACACATAAAGAAAGGATTTTGTTAGAGATAGGAGATTGTGTTAACAAGTTCTCATTGATCACTAGTCTGCAGCAGGTGGGGGATAAGCCCTCACTATACAACATCTCAACAACGATACGGCAAAAATCCTCATCTGTGGAGAGGAACAGGGATCTGCTTCTTGAACAGAATCCCAAAGCATCCTTGAATAGAACTACTACCCTCCAAGGGTGCAGATGAAGAAAGGCCATAGTCAACTGAAACAATTTATCAGCAGGTGAATGTACCTGCAAAGTTCAAGGTGTGTCCCATCTAGAGCTGTCATAGTGATGCAGACAAGTGCCATTCCAGTGAGGAGAGTACAGATCATACAAGTTTGTGTAATATGAGTGTGCAGTAAAATCTTCACCTTGCCCAAAAGGAGGTCTGATCTTTGCTTTCAGTTCCTGGAAGATAATCTCTAAGACTTTGGAAAGTCCTGAGAGATGACTGTCTTTGCTTACATGGGAGACTTGGACCACACCAGAGAGTCTATGCTAATGATGTGATTTATGGTGGGGGCTTTGAACCAGCTTGACCACCGAAGGGGCTGGAGGCTCAAGTTAGCCTTTCAGGCAGTAAACCATGTCTACATGACTGAGCTTCAATAAAAACTTTGAACATCAAGGCTGAGGTGATATCTAGTGCATATTGTATGTCACACATCATTGCTGAGAGAGGTTAGCACTGCTGAAGACTCCCAGAGAGAACAACTGAAAGCTTATGCTTGAAACTCTCCTGGATTCTACCCTACATGCCTCTTCTCTTGGCTGATTTTTATTTGAATCCTCTTTCACTATTATAAACTGTAAATGTTGATTGATGTGAATTGTGTAAGACCGATGATTCACGGACCTGTACTTGTGAAACAAATAATACATTACATGTAAATTAAAAAAATTTAAAAAATGTAGCTGTAGGTATAATAAGTTTTAAATGAGTTCTGTGAGTCCTTCTAGTGAATTATGGAACCTGAAGTGGTCTTGGGGACCTTTGAACTTGCAGCTGATGTCAGAAGTGAGAGTGGATTTGGGAACTTCCAACCTTTGCATAAGTAATTGATGTTGAGGGGTTAGAGGTATTACAAAGGACTTTTTGATATTTGTTAACATTGATTATTCTGAGGAGGGACCTCCATTGTCTGAAAGAATTGTGCCCCAGACTCCCTCAACAGTATGTGCCAGGCCTATCAGAGATATTCTGGCTTCAAAATTAATTGTGAACTTAATTCTTTTCTGATTCTTTGAATAAATCCTAACATGACAACCTATTGAAATTTATTGATTGTGGCCCTAGGGTACACTTTCTAAATCTTTTATTCTTAGGTCCTACTCTCTCTATTTTACTTGCTCTTTTTGGTTTTATTTTCTGGGTGGTATTTATTCTCATGAACATAAACTTAATAAATATATCAAACAATTAGTGTTACTTGTTCTTTTTTACATTTCAGTAACAACATCTTTATTCTTCTGTATTTCTTTAATATCATTTCTGAAAAAGCTTATACATTCCTTGGAGAATATTACTTTGGCCATCTACTAGAGATTATTTTGAATCCCCTGGGAAACTGGCAGGTTTTCTGAAAGCTATAGAACATGGTGACATATATAAATCATTCTGCACCATATTTCATATTGGACACCAATTTTTATCTGTGTCCCTTTCAAAATGTTATTTTGTTCCTCAAGCCCTTTAAAAAATCTGGACCCTGGTTCCTTCAGAGATTTCTTTGCTTCCTAAGCTCCCTCGATGAAATTATGTGAGACTTTCAAACTGCCTATCCAAAGACTTAACTTCAAAAGTCCAATTATAGAACATTTTTGTTTGATGGGGGAAGTAAAAAGAAAAACATGGGGACAAATTCCATGTCTTTCTTCCACTAGTTCATGAATCATTTTAAACCATTAAAATTACTATATGGATTCTCTGAGAAAATGAATTCCACTCCCACTGCTGCCCTCAGGAGATTTCTTGTGGCTCTGAAGTTTGCTCTCTTTTGTAATTATGTAAAAAAGTAGGTCTCTGGCTTCAGGGAATGCTGCATTTCACTGAACTGCTCTGGCTTTGCTTCACGTTCCTAGTGTATATAAATCTCTGATTATATCCCAAGAAATTTTTACTCAACCACAAATTTGACATTCACTTAGAGTTCTTGCAGTGTTACCTGGACTCTATTGTTTTTTTCTGTTCCACACTTTTTTTTTTTCCCAAAATGCACCAGTGGGAGACTAATAACGGCCAAAAAAAAAAAAAAAAAAAGGCAAATATGTTGTCTTTTGTTTTCTACTCTGACAATAAAGGGTCATTTATTCCTTTTCAAACTGTTACAGACTCTCTTTCATTTCCTGTAGTTGATGTGATAGCTGGTTGGCTGATATTTAATTTTTGACTGGAAAAGAGGGCTGTGATATCTTTCTAAAATTCATTCCTCCTTAGGTATTCTGGGGATTAGGAGTTTTTGGAAAAGGAAGGAAGTGGCACATCTTTGGGAGTATTTTGGAGAACTTTTTACTTCTGGTCTCTAATAGAAGGGTTCAGCTTGCCTGTAGACATCTGAGATGAAGAGATCTAACTCTCCACAGTAATATCAACCTATTACCGGCAAGTTGGCAAAGATTGTACCTGAGATGCCCTACTCCACTGTGAGAGTGTCTTGTTGAGCTTAGGAACTGCTGAGATCCAACCTAACCAGATGAGAAGGGGAAGGGACTGGGGACAGGGTAGCCACCTCCATTCCTTCTGTGTTTTTCTTGCATAGCCTTAACTCCAAGAAGCTGGGGTCCTGACCACTTCTTAGG